TGAACTGTTTTTGAGGAATCAAATAGCCTCAGCATTATAAAATAATTTAGGATGGAAGGAACCTCTGGCAGCCTAGTCCAATCCCTTGCTCAAAGCTGTTCTTTTCAGATCAGGTTATTCAGGGCTGTCTGATCAAGTTTTGATCATCTCCAAGGGTTGATTGAGCTCTTGCAGCTTCTTTAAGCCCTGTTCCAGTATTTGATCATACTCTTTTTCTTTTTTATTCATAGTGTCAAATTGGAATTTAGGATGTTTCAGATGTTTGTTGTCTCTTGTCCTATCACCAGTCACCATCTTCCTTTTATCCTCTGATCAGATGGTCACAGACAGCAGCAAGGTTTCCCCTTTGCCTCCCTTCTCAGGGCTGAAGGGACCCTGCTCTCACAGCCCCTTTTTGCACCCAGGTGCTCCATTGCTGTGCCCAGCCTGGTGTCATTGTGGCATCTGCTCCAGTAACACCTGCTCGTAGAAGATCAAACTGGTATTTGCTGATGCATTTCTACAGAAAGGAAAGGATCAGGGGCACCTTTGTATTACTGACAAGGTCCTGCCAATGGGCTGTCTTGTGGCCCAGTGCAGCACAGAGGCAGAAGGCAGAGGAATGATTTTCCCTGCTCTTGCCTCAGTGCCCAGTATGGCTCATGTACAAAGCCTTGCAAGAGGGGCAGTACAAGTGTCTTTGTCCTGGCCTTGTCTCTCAGTTTGCTGAGCTCTCTGTGTCAGTCTGGTATCAGAGATGTGGAAACACTGCTTTCTGGCGTCCTGGATCACGACACCATCTTAGGAGTCCATTTTGACATAGGTACATATGACAGTACATGTCAGAGCAGTTGAGTGATTTGCTCCTCACTTTCCTATGTGTGGTACTGTGCAGACCGAGGAGTGTAGCATGAAATTGGTAGGCATGTGGCAGCCTTATGGTAGGAATGTGGCAGCTGAGAAAAATCTGCCTTTTTCCAGAGATGCAATGTGTTGCTATATTTTATATATCAGTAAAGGCCTGTCTGCACAAACCAGTCTTTGAAATAAGTCGTGATATTTAAGGCTAAAGTCCTTGAAACCTTCCTGCAGAAGAGAGGGTAAAGCAAAACAATATCCTTGTGGACAGGAGAAGAAATGTAAACCTGTGTGCACTAGCCAATAGTAACTTGCTTAGCCCACAGACCCTGCGGAACCCTATAAAAGGTGTGCTAAAGATAGAAATAAACGGCATTCATGGTTACTTCCGTGAAGGGTTGTGAATAGCTGGCAGTCTCTCAATAGCAATGAAGCCTTTGGATCAAAAAACTACAATAGTCCTTAAGAACCAAGTGTGACTCTGTTGCTGTGAATACAAATGGTGAAAATTTACATATGTTACACCATTCTGTTTTCTTTTTTACTTTTACTATTTTTTTTTTTTTAATTATTATTATTAAAAGTGGCCTTTCTTATTCTCTTCTGCATGCTCTGGAATGTGAGAATGCCACATCAATGCAACAATGACAAGTATGACTTTGAGGCACAAGAAAATTAAACATATTTATCAAAGTATTTTCATCTCTTCGAAGAAAATTGTTGTTGCTGAGTTACCATGCTACCTGAAACAAGCTTTAGGTGGATTTAAGCAAAATATTACAAGTGTCACATTCCTATGTTTTCTGTTTAGCTTGTCTTCTTGGGAAATAACCATGCTTTTATGATTTTTTTAGATAATGGGTTTTTACCCTTCATTCCACTATTAGCATCAAGTTACTGTATAGAAAGAGATCTAAAGAGGAAGGGTTTTATTCAAAGCTTGCTTTCTTTTGAATATCTTAATAGCAAGTATCAAGTGTCTCAATGCTGTGCCTAAACCATCTAGCAATACCAAAGCAACAGCTGAGTTTGTTCTGAATTCAGTGCTTTGTAAGCAAATAAAAGCTGTTGTGACTGGCCTTGGTGCAATACACACAGCTGGATAAAGCACTAAGTGCTTTCAGAGACCAGCTGAGAGATATGGGGGTGTGAGTGGGCAGAAGCAGCTGTACAGACCCTTCCTTGTGCTCCCTGTGGAGAATATAAGTTTGCTGTATCAGAGATGTTTAGCTGGATGTCAGTCCAGCTGTCAAAACAGAAGCAGGGTCCCCTGGATTCTGCAGCAGGAGTTTTGTTTCCTCTTTCAACATGATAGACTTGGCATTGCCCTCACTAGCACCACTTCTTTACCCAAGTACCGCCCAGGCACAAATAGGCTTAATATCTATTTTATTTATCAGAAAAAAGGACAGGGTCAAGGTCCTGCTAGGCTTTGCAGAGGTCAAACAGCCAAGCCCAAAGACCAACATTTTAATTAAAAATACTTCTCTGAAAGCACAAACCAAAGAATTCTCTTCTGTGCTACATTACTAAGTGTGCAACTTCACTGGTGATGTTCAGGAATGGGGGCAGTAACCAGCCTTTTGTCACCTGGTTTGTGGAAACTGGGGGTGTATATGAAATCACATGGAATTATGGGAAAACTCAGGTAGAAAATATTCTAGAGGATGGACTGCAGACATGGAAATGGAAGCCTGTGGGGCCTGAATTCCCCTGATAGTACCTGCCCTGAGCTGAAAATACCAACTCGCTCAAGCTATCAGTGCTTGGACTTTACTAGGCAAACACAGGTACAGCTTGCCATGTTGATTTATGGTATCTGCTGTGCCAAATCCACCTTATCTATTCTTGAAATTCATCTGATCCTGGGTCTCAGCTCAATAAGCTGTTCTGTACTCAGATAATTCTGCAACGAACCAGAGATGTTTTGTGCATCTGTAATACATGGAGGACTGGGAGCTGGCTCTGCTATGGTAAGACTCAGAATTGTTATATGGTGATGGAACATCTCTAGCATCTGAACTAGCATTTCAAATTGTATTATCAAGCTCAGATTAACTGGCTGTCTATGAACAGCTGTCAAACCAATTTCACAAATGGTGAGGTGAATAACTCCAACAAGGATGCAAAAGCTGGCATGGAAGTGGAATACAGCCACTGCCAGCCTCTCTGCATAGTTCAGGAGCATCACCAGTTTTGTATGGTCATGGGCTGCTCACAAAGTATAGAGCTTACAACAGCCAGAGCAGACATTTTAAAATTACAATTATGAGTAAAAAGACTGATTTTGATGCCTGGTTTGGTTGGAAATGGGGAGCCTTGCATTTGTTAGTACAGCAATAAACAAATGCAGAATGTGGGAGGAGAAGATGACTCAGAAAACAGCGGCATAGTCTGATGTTTGTATTACAACATAATAAATGGGCTGTTTTTTATGTATTTGAATGCACATAGACAGAATGCAGATGGGCCTAATAAAATTATCCTAATCACTGGGATGACAGCCTCTCTGCAAGAAAGAAAAATTGATCACCTCACATGGAAAAGGAGATGTATCTTAATTTTGTAGTGTTCTTTCCACATAGAAAAGATGATATTTAAGATTCCCTTTTTAATGAAGTGCTGGACTTTTCTGTCAAATGGCACTTTGTAGAACTCAAGCAATTAAATAAATGCTTTCTTTGTGAGAAGACATTTTTAGGTTGAGGATATTCTTCTTCTGGAAACTCAGATATAGATTAGTTGTTTGTCTTTTCACACTAAGAGAGGTGAAAAATAGAAACAGGAAGGATTAGGATTAGGAATTACCACAGTGAAGCATGGGGCTTTTTTTACAGCTTTCATTAATATCTTAAAGCAGAAACCTGAGTGAAAATGTGTCAGCATTTTGGAGCTAAATGAGGTTTATAAAGAAAGGAAGTATTTTTGAAATTACTTTGGAGACAATAGATAGTAGACCTTATATCTCAACAGGAGATCTTAACCATCTAATGCTGCAGATAGCTACACTATTTTTCCTGAGTTCTCTTTGTTTCACCTTAAAGATTAGAATTATTGTTCCTGCCCAAATTCAAATGTCTTTTAATGGATTTTAATTGCATTCCTGTTTGAATCCTTTTGGGTTTTTATCCATGTGAAACAGTTAAAAATTGATTAATAATTTTTATGTCTTATTGTTTGTATTTAATATATTTCAATGCAGTAATATTTAAGATAGTACTTACTTCTCTAAAGGGACAGACTTAATTGAGAAGAGTGGTTGAAATTAGCATTAGCTACAGTTATGACAATGACAGTGATGATTTATGATAGCTGAACATTAAATATTTTTTGTCTTCAACTAACATTTCTTGTAGTAATATCCCCCTGAAGGAGATGCAATCAGACTTCAAACTGTTTCGCTAATTCTTTTGTACAGAGTCTGGGATGCTAAAGGATTTCACCCAGTGCAGAGTGTCTGGAGTGTCTTTCAAGCTATGATGAATGTGTTGAGTTTTAATACCAATTATTCTACTTCATGGGCTCATTTGCTATATTAGTATTTTACTCACTGCTGTTACTAAAACTTGTGATAATAATAAATTGAGAGAGCATGACACCAAAGCATACATAGCTTGACTTTATACTAGTTTCTTTTATTGTATTATGGTTTTGCTTCAAGAAAGTCTTAAAAAATATATAGATTTAATTTCACATATCTTCTAAACCTGTACCTGATATGTATTATTTTCTATTTTAGCTTAGCAGTTGTATTCACCACAAGTTATGTGTGTTAAAGAAAATAAAACTGCGTTATAATTTCAGCTCACAAAAGCTGGATTCAATTCAATATTAGCTCTGCTTTGAGTAAATGATCCCATAAGGTCACTTCCAGCCTGATTTATTGTACAGTTTAAAGATTTCAGTGCCATATCAATATAGATCCCTTAAGTTCATTAATTATCATATGATGAGGATTTGCCCTTTGCCAGGGCAGCTTTAACAGTGCTTATCATATCATTAAAGACAAACATTTACTGTTTTTAATATTATCCTTTGCTTTCAATTACAGAATGCATTGCAGAATTGCAGAATATTGACATAACACTGGTGCTATAAAGTTCATTTATATCTTTTTCAGTTAATACTTTTTTCTCTAATTTTTTTCTCATAATTGCCTTTAGAGATCCCTGAAGACCCAGAAATTGCAGAAGAATATTATAAAGATGAGTTTGAATCCTATTCAGAAGACAGTGAAGCAGAGGAAGATGCAGAATTGTCATGGACAGTCTCTAAGACAAATCACCAGGTATATGTGACCTTTGAGAACACTGTATACACTTGATGCTCATTTTCCATGAGAAAACTGAGTTCCTTCCCAGAATTCATCCTACTGACACTGCTGATTTTTTTTTTCTTTTATTAGGACTGTGTGTATGTAACAATAACATGAATTAATTATATGTGTATTATAAGATATTGATGAGAAAGTTTTTTGCATTCCTTCAAGATTAAAGATAACACTCCCATGAAGGCCATAAAGTAGATTATTGTCAGAAAATATCCTTGTAACTCCAGAACACTCAAAATGGGATCCTCTCAAATCATAGCTATGATTTAAATTAAATTAAAGCTGAAGGTATACTTCAAACATAAGATCCAAGTTCCAGCTCTAATTCCCAGGCAAAGATAGTCACCTCTATTTCCTGCCTATATTAGACATATTTTCTAGGACAGTGTGATGAATGATGAGCCTAAACAGCTGCAAGACTTGGTCAGCAAATCTATAGATTTTCCCACCTTACAGAAACTATCAGTGTAGAGAAAACTTATTGTTGAAAGGCTTAAAGTAGCTTTATCAGTTAAGGCTGCCACAAGAAAGTCAGGGACTGCAGTGTGAAAGTTGAAGATTATTGGAAAAGGCACCTAATTTAAATCTGATCAGAATGAGCTGAGATGAATCTTGTCTCCAGTGATCAAGTCTCAGTGAAATCAATAAACTTAAGTGCCTGAGGCAGTTCTGAAAATGGATCTTCCTCAGCCATTCAGGAACTATTAATTTCTCCCATGGGCCACCAGTTTCAAACATGTTCTACAGTGCCTCTGAATGGTACTATCTGGTTCTGCCTAGGAGCAGTTACTTTATTCTGTGATCATGTGCAAAGTTTGCAGAACAGAGTGTTATGGTTTTTGAAAAATTTGAACTAATAGCTTCTTTGAGATGTAGTTTTTAAGGCAAAAATAAAGTGTGAGAAATCAGAACTCTACTTCTACAACAGTAGCAGGGGATTCTGAAATTGTCCCGCAAGTAAAACTTAAAGTTTACTCAGAACCAGCTTCATTCAATCTAGACATGTCCTCTTAACTTTCAAATTGAACACACGGGGTGTCTTAAAATTCAGGAGCAATTTGTGCAGTATTGGTCTAAAGAAATTGTTATTCATTTGTAGAACAGTGGATTATCTTAGACAATACTTTTTTTGAGTTTGCTGGGTTTATGCTTACCCACAGCACATAGACATGCAAAGAAACCATTGCCCAGAAAGTCTACCACAAGATACCCTTGGAAACAAAATTGCTGCTCATTTTCATCAGACTCTGAGACAATTTTTCTTTTTTAGAATGCCTTCTGAAATTTTCATTCAGCTTTCATTGATGGTATCATTAAGTGTCAATCAGTAGTGTTTTTGAGCAGGCAGACTGCTGCTTAGAATTAATGAAGGGCAGAAGACAGAAATAGATTTCTCAGTAATGCAGAATAAATTAGGTGTTTGCATTCAGATGTGAGGTGCAACAGTCCCTCAGGTTGGACTGACTAAAAATCCCATGATAAGAAGCAGCATGGTGGGCTGGAAGAGCCATCCCACTGGCACCCCATTGTCTCTGTCCAGTCCCCGTGGTCCTGAGGCTTTGCTCTGCCAGCTTACAGAGCATTGACCCTTTGTGAACAGTCCTGCACAGGCTGAGTGGAATGCACCCCTGTGACCATTTGCCTTTTGGGACTTCCTCTGTAAAAGAAGATAATTATCTGTGCTTTTCTCATGTTGACCCCAGCACCTTAAGATATTCAATGAGTGTGTTTCTGGGTATTGACACAATTTCCTTTTCTATTTCTTGGGAAGAGAAAATAGGTGATTTTTGCTTTCCCAAGTGAAAAATTCTGCCTTGAATCCAAGGTGAAAGCAGACTGAACATAGCTGTACGAATCTGAACATCTGTGTCTGAACTCAACAAACAGAAAGGCAATACTGTGAGAGGAAGTAAGCAAGCATTATCAGGGAGTAAACATCTAATGCAGGTTGGATGGAATATGCAGATAGGTCCCTCTTTGGTTATTATAAAAGGATTTACAATTATTAACATGCACACAACACTTTCCTTTGGATATCGATGGTTATGCGAGATGAATCCCACTCAAAGGTAGGTGGGATCATGCTCAGTATTAATAATGAGCTTCAAATCCTTCCAGAATAGCAAAGGTTTGCTTCTGCAGTCATTTACTTAGTACCAAAACTCCTATTTCTATGATGGGATTCATACTCTTAAACTCTCTTCAAAGTATATACTCTTTCTTCAAAGATACCTTAAACCAAGCTTTTGGAGGTGTGTGCTAAAAAAGAAACCATTCTACTGCAACACAGTAAGGGCTTGTAAGGTAATTTCTGCAAATCTCTTAAATTTCCAATCCCAAGATTGCTTTACTAGTTACTTCTGTGCAGAGTGTGCAGAAATGCTGCATCTGGTGGTGCTCTCTGGTGACCCCATTATTTCAAACAAGGATTAAAAAAATTTCCAGTGTTCATGCAGTAGCATGGGGTCAGAAAAGTCATCTTTATGAACAGCATATTAAGGTGCAAGATGTAGAAAGGGATATGAGCTGTTTATTCAAGCTATATTAGGCTCCCATAGATGTCAAGACAGACTGAGAAGTAGCAGCCTCACATGGGTTGTAAGGCCACTTAGGAAGGTAGAGTTAGGTGCTGAAATACTGTCATTTTAGAGGTTTAGGAGAGCAGCTGAGAGGGCTTTTTTTCTCCTCTTGATACTTTCAGTACAGCCTATCTGATTTCATACACATTGGCCAGAACTGGAGTTTAGTGTCCTTTATTCCTTTATTTTGGAGCAGAAATGCACATTTACAGATTTCAAGCAGAAGTTTGACAACTGCTTCTCCAGACCTTTGCCTCTTCAAGCCTGTGGCTCTTTTCCCCATGTTTTTTTTTTTTTTTCTAGGAAGACCAGTTCCTGAATAGGGGGAAATCATGAAATAGAGTGGCAAACTATTTTTAAAAATATTTTAATGTGTGATGCTTAAATGACGTTTCATCTTGAAAAGTTAGTGGGTATTGAAGCTTCCATTGTCTTTGATTTAGCCGAGATGCTAGTGGATGCTCTTTACTGCAGTTCATCACCATGCTCTTAGTGGTTTTTCTCAGTGACCATAGTAACAAATTTACCCTCTTCATTATGACAAAGTCTAATACTGTGGTGCAGTAGGCTCCTATTTTCAAATTCCAAATTGCTTCTGCGATTGTCAAGCCAGACAATAAGACATAAATTATCATAGCTCCAGCAGCTCTGAGTGGTCTGTGTGCTGTGACCCCAAAGATGCTCTACTGGATTCCCAACACGTTTTGGCACAGCTTGTTGCTGTTAGAAGTGGAGTTGTTTGTTCTGAATCTGAAATGTGCAAGCATTCACCCACACTGGCCCTTATGCATGGGAGTGCCTCTCTTCTAGGCATCCATCACAGTCCCTTGTCCATTCCATAGGGCTTTGCTTTCTCTGAAAAAAAAATAAATAAAAAAATAAAAAGATTAAAGAAATATATTAAATGAAACAGCTAAATCCTCTTCCAGTGCTAAACCCAAGTGGGGAAAAGACAGGAGTGATGAAAGAGGTGAAAATATATCTTTTGCCTTACAGCATAATAAGAAACCAGCTTTATTGTTATAATTGGAGTAAATATGGTGTCCTGTTGTGAGAAGTCAAAGGTTTGGGAATTACAGGCTTTATCCCATGAATTTTTTATTTTAAAAAAGTTTTTATTAAGGCAATAGTGTTGTATATGGTTATTTACTATGTTTTGTCTGTAGATTTGTGGTTAACTGTTAGTGATAATGAAAATAAAAATAATTACAAAGTAATATTAGAAGAAAATCAATATAACTTCTTAGTTTTGCATGACAAAGATTTAATAATTTTTTAATGAAGTCCTAATGGTTCTTTTTCTTAGAAGTACAGAGAAATTATATCTGTAATACTAAGTCTGTCTTAATTCAATATTCAGTATGTACTGTGTATATTAACGTTATGAATGCATTCCCTAGCATTTCCTGGCTGCAGAATTGGAAACCTTTGTACTGACTTGATCCAATCAGGACCCCACAGACTGCTCCAAAAGGGCAAAAAGGCTCCTTTGAACCTAGGAGCTTGTGGGCTACCTGCTGCAATGGCCAGCCAAGAAGCTGATTCCTGTCCTGCAAGTCTCAGCTGAAGTAGCAGAGCCTGTTTCAGATATAAGCCCATGAAACAAATTGGGGTGAAGAAAAGTTAGTTTATGCTCATCCATAACAGTTCCCACTTGCACCAAAAGGTCTCTAACCAGCTGGAAGTCATTGCCAGCAATTATTGCTGTCCTGTTTAGGTACACTGGCAGTTCATACGTTGAGAAATTTAGAATGGGCATTTTAGTAAGATCACTGAAGAACACAAAGCAGATTGTAGAAGTGGAGGTCAATAGAGTTTCTTTTTATTCCATTAAGTCTTAAAGGCATAGAGTGCTGACTATTTTTTTTAATATGCATTTTTGACATATTTTTTAGCAAGGTCAAGATTTTGACTGTCAATTTTAATTTAGTCAAGAAATGCTGTGTTGTTAATGTAATATGGCAGCATCTTCTATACACTCAGAGTCCAAGTTTTTCTTGGACTTCCATAAAACTGTGATTTACTTCCTGGACAACAGTCATTGCTTAATGGTCAGAACTTTAAATTTCATCTGTGTACACAAACAGCATTTCATATGAAAGATATCATGGCAAAACTGTTAGCCATCTGTTCGGTAGCAGAAGACTTGAAATATAAAAATGTTAAAATCCCTTCTTAATTAAAAATTTTTCAATTAGTTGTTGTTACTAGACATGTAAATAGATGCAATTACGTGAAAGATAAGTATTAATTTGCTGTGGGCCACTATCATAAGCATAAAAAATTTTGGTATAGTTAAAAAGTACATACTTGCCTTTTTCAATGTCATATTGTTTTAGATATTCCAGGGCTAACTGATGATAAAATGCTGATGTATTTTCAGAGACTGCACACCACCCTCCACAGTAAATGTATATTCCATGCACAGTTGTTCTAAACAGTTGTGTTTTACAGGGAATCTGACTTAAATAGTTTGGTTATAACATCATTCCAAAACCTGATGCTTTAGGAGCAGAAAACATAGAAAATATTCTGGGCAATGTAACTTCTTTAAAGGCTAGTCTTGACACTTACTGGTGTGATATCCTCTACATTTGTGGGATCATACCCCTGGAACATAGTGTTTGTGTTTAGGTTTGTGCTCACACTAATGCTATTCCTATTTCATTTTTTCACAGGACAGTGATATGGAGGCAATGGTTGAGCACTTGGAGAGTGTCCTGAATAGCAGCTCATTGGGTAAGATGATATATCTTCTTTAGATAGCAACAGTTATTAGCAGTCTGTATGCATCACTGTCCAACTATTTCCATTTTGTAACAAAATAACTCAAAAAATGTGATCTCCTTGAAAATTACTTCCTTTATCTACTGCAGAGAAGTATAACTGTGCCAAAAGAAATGGCATAAGTATAGTTAAGTGCTTTTGTTGAAAATAATAAAGCCATAAAGCATGATAGGCAGAATGTTATTAAAAAAACTTTTAAAAACTTGGCTACTGTCATTTTTTCTCCAGAGGAAAATATTTGAGGATGTGTAAGCTATTTTATAGTTTTTAAGCCTGGTAACAATAAGAGAAAATGAATTAAAATATTTGTTTTTTTAAAAAATATGATCAAGGTTTGGATAATACTTAATTTATGTAACAGTATCTCATTACAGGTACAAAGGAAACAGTGAGAATTTAAGTTTGTAATTTAATCTAAAAATCTCTGGCAAAATATTGTCTATAGATTTAGAGTTTGAAAGCCTGGGTTCTTGTGGTCTGCTTAAAAGCTAAAAAGAAAACTTATGTGAAAGAAGGCTATTTACTGTGGCTGCCACAGTCACTGTCCTCAGAGGCCACTGGGTGGGACTGTGCCGGTGTCTAGGTTTGAAAAGACAGGTGTCTGCTAAGGAAGGCAGCAACTTCTCTTGAAATGGAAAAATGTAAACCTGTCCCCCTCCCCTTTTTCTGAATTATTATAATCTTGAAATCAAGGGGAATTCAAGCAAAGATATGGGAATAGGGATAAAAGCTTTTTATTAGGAAAATTAAAATAAAAATGCAGTAGTAGAAAAACAAAACAAAACAAAACCAACAAAAAAAAAACCAAAACAAAAAGAACACCGAAAAACACACACACACAAAAAAAAATCAAAACAAAAATCACTGTCAGTGTCAGAATACAACCTGACACCCTGTTAGTCAGGGTGTTGGTAGCAGTCTGATTAAATGGTGGCTGCAGTCCTCTTGGAGGGACAGGTGTAGTTCTATTAAAACAGTGATCTTGTAGAAGAGCATAGTTTTCGGACAGGTGTAGTTCTATTAAAACAGTGATCTTGTAGAAGAGCATAGTTTTCTTCTGAAGGTCTGGAGGTGTAGATGGGTCTTGTTATCTTCTGGGAATCCAGTGGAGAAAGGCTGACTGCAGTGCTCCAAGTCTCCGATTATATCTGGGTAGGAATGCTTGGCTCCTCCCCCTGGGTGGAGCATCTCCCAAGCCAGCTGAGTTCCTAAAGGCTCCCATGGGAACTGCAGTTTCATTTAGCTGCTTCATTTGCATTCATTCAGTTGGGATAAACCTGACTTGGTATTATCTAAAACCACAACACAGGAGACTCCTAGGAAGTCTTCCTTCCAGAGATTCTTCCAGTACTGAGCTCTGTTTCACCCCTGCTTGTGAGCATGGACAGATGGGGAGAGCCAAAGAAGGAGGATGAAAGGGAGTAATCAAAGTTGTTGCCATCATAGTCTTGTAGCCACTGGTCATTTTCTGGGACCCATGTCAAGAAGACCCTCAGGACTGAATGAACACTTACATCCAGTTTCTCTTCACACTTAAAGAGAACCCCCTGCCTCCAAATTCTGCACTCATTTATGCATTTGCAACATCACTGTCTGCAATGGGTTTGCAGATGTTGAAATAAGAACAAAATTTTGCTTTGTGCTTCAATATTCTGTCATTTAATTAAAGAAAGGAATTGCCTTGGAGGCTGCTGAGAACATACAAGAATATTAGCTGAAGACAAACAGTGGAGTTTTAAAACCAATCTTAGTATTAGAAACTCCCTGATCTTAATCTTTTTCATTCAGTATTAGGGACAAGAAGATGCCCTTTTAAAATTTTTAATATTAAATAATTAAATTGTACTTTTATCACTAAAAAATCTTCAACCAGTCTGTGCTGAAACTTATAGCCTTTCTCCAAGCTAAGGTAATAATTAGGTATGATTTTCTTCAGAGAAATATATGTGATGATAATAAGAGACAAATCTCCTTTTTTCTTTTATCCATTTTTTTTCCTTTTATCTTTATGCTCTGTGTCACTGAGAAAGTTTAAACTTTCATTATTTTAAGTTCTTCCAAAATCAAGCTAGAAACCTGCAGCTGGGGTAATTTTTTTGTGTTTGCTCATGTTCATTTATACCTTGCATATTCTTCACTGGGCTCTAAGTTCCCATTACATTAAATTTTTTTTGTATATGGTGCATTTTACATAGGTTAGATGTCTTTTTCACCCTAAAGCTACTTTGTCCGCTTCCAGGTCTGCATTTCTTTAACTGACCACTTGCACACTGTTTTTAGCCATGGCTTTGCCCGTACTAGCCAGAGCCTCCCTTCTTGTTGTCCCATGCCTGTAGTTCTTTATATCTCATCCTTTGTTCCCACTTTTCAAGGCATCTGCTGTTGTACCAGGCCTGTGCTTCTCTACATTAATTGAATTAACTTAGTTATAAATATGTCTTTCTACACAGGATACTACTATCCATCTAAAAAAATGGGTTATACTTTACAAGAATAAGTGAAAATTAAATAAAATAGAACACTACATAGTAATTAGAAGAACTACTGCTATAGCTTAAGCAATTAAATCAAAATTTCTGTAAGGACAAGACAAGATCAGACAAAGCCTGAAGCATTGCAGACTCAGTTCCAGGTGTGTGGTCTGGTGCAAGCAGTGGCAGGACCACATGAGCGGGCTGCAGACCTACAGCAGAATTATAATGGCTGCTCCTGCAACAGTATGGATTTCATGACAATAATAGGGCAATAGAAGCAGGAATTCGGCCAGGACAGGACTCTTTATAGCATCTTTCATTGTTAAAGTATTACAAAATATTATGAGTAATTTCAAGCAGTTGTTAGAGAATGACCAGGAAGAAAAACTAGAACTTTTATGTCAGCAAAGGCCAAGATAAAAAGGATGCAATAAACATACATTGTTTTTCAGTGGAATTTGTTTAGAAACCTCAGTGTTCATAAAAGGACTTGGGAGGTAACTGAGTTTTCTCCTCAAGAGGTCCCAGAATCATTCCAAGTACCAGAGGTATTGTGGTTCACGATTGCATTTGTGTTGATTACACAGGTCCATGTGAAGTTCATTTGAAATAAGATAGGCCATGCTGATAAACTGAAAAATTGGGAAGATCCCAGAAAAAAGCTGCAAAATATAAGGGAGTTTGAAAAAGCAATTTTAAACTTTACTAAATTTGCTTGGCATTAAGGAAGACAAGGTTAGGGGCAGTTGGGTCACCTTTTATTGTTTATGAATCTGGAAAACACATCTGATTCTAATCCTTTATATCTTGTACGAAAAGGCATTGTAGGATCTCATATGTAACATTGAAAGCTAAAGAAAAGAAATCTGGAATACAAACAGAAGTTTGTGATTCAGTGGAGAAAACAGCTTCACAACACATCATGGCTTATGAAGAGATGCAGTAGATGTGTACCACCAATTCTATGGTCATTAGCAGAAATGTTTGTAGGAATGCCTTTGGACCATAATTTATGAAAACTCTTACCAGATAATGCACCTGTGAATAAATTCCTTTCTCTACAGATCCTCAGAGAAAGCCTCAAACTGGTGCTCTATCACCTGAGAGGACAAAGATCTTTTGCTCTTTGCCCTATGTTGTTTCTGCAATATTGGATTAGACACTGGGAGATATTGAAATACATTTAGAAAGTCACAATACCTGGTTTTGAAAAGTCAGTGCTCTTGTTGTTTCATTTGGTTTTGCTTAATGGATCAAGAATGATATCTTGGATAGAAAATGCAAATAATTATCTGGTAACTTTTTGAAGAAGCATAGCTCCTTTTTGTGTGTACATGTGTGTACATGTGTGTTCCTTTATGTGGGTACACAAACTGCCTGGAGCTGGGTGCAAAATATATTCTTGTTCAAGTAACTGCTTCTAAGAAAATACCTTTGATGTAGAAGTTGGTATGGCAAAATTTGTTGAGGTGAGCTGTAGCACCAATGTATCAAGCTCTTAGCAGTCTTCACTGAGAACTCTTTTTTTTAATGATTAACCACACCTTTGCAGCATCCTACAATATTCAGGCTGTGCTGCCTTGCAGTAGCCAGAAAATCATATTAAATGGAGAAGAAGATAGAGAGTTTGCACAAAGAGATGAAGTTTTTCTTGGCCAACTGCCAATGTGTAAAATAGACAAAATATTGTTTAGCCAGAAATCCCAGGGGAAAAAAAAAACCAAAAGAAAAAAGCAAACAAGAAGAATGTGTTTAATAAGGAAATGTCAGAGGAGAAGGAAATTTTGTAGCAATAAATATACTGAATTCACTAAACAGAAAGAATATGCTGAGCTCTTACTACAGTGATATATCCTGTAATAATAGCAATGCCAGAATTTATCTGGTGCCCCTGGTTAAATGTAGTCTTTCTTCAGAGACTGCAAGGTTTGTATTTTCCTTAGGCCACTGGTGTTCAGGGCATCAATTTTTAATTGGTTTCAGAGCACCAAAGCCCTACATCTGGGCCTTAATACTGCCCCAGCTGAGAGTGGAGCATGCAGCCAAGTAAGTCACGAGCACTGCTTTGCACAGCACCTGGGGTTTCCTCAGAGCTATCCTGAGGATAGCTGAATTTTCCAATGTCACTAAAGGAGTTGAATGCTTACAGACTCCATGTAAAAACATATGGATATGCATTTTCACTGTTACAGTAAATGATCAGGGAATGGTTTTTGCCTTAATGGGTGAAATAACTGGTTGCCTGTAAGAACTGGGCTTGTCATTTTTTCATTTTTTAAACTACATTAATTATACCTGAGTTGTGTAAGGCAACAGAAAACTCCTAGCCATTAGGTGTAAAGATAAGCTAGAAAAATATTTTTAAATGTGCCATTGTTTGTCCATCCTGCTAACAGAATCAAAAATCCATTTCTTCTGTGCTTCTAAGCTTCTGAATCCAGCAGACACTCACTGTGAGTGATTCAGTAGGATCACTCATGATGGAAAGTTTTAATCTCAATATTCAAATGGATATGATCAGGGTCTAGAATCATGTAAGGCATAGGAGCTTAACTGTTGGGAGAGCCATGGTTACACGTTCCAGGGAAACATTTAGTGTTCTCTGGGGGTGTCTACACCAGCTCATAGAGGGAGTGGAGCTGCAAGCTCCCTTTGGCTGCATGTGATCCCTTTAATGCAGTCCAAACTAAGCCAAATCCCAGCTGAGTCCCAGCTAAAAACCCCTGGTAGGAGGGAGTATGTGTTCATTTAGACAAGACATTGTGTTAACATGTTTGACTTTTGTCTTGTTCCTACCCTATGCAAAGCCCTCCCATGCCTGTTCAGAACTTGGGCCCTGTGTGGCACAGCCCACTCATTTACACCCTGATACATCTCCTGTTTTGGGAAGTGAAATCCTAACGCCAAACAATTTGCAAGAAGAAGCTAAAATAGCTGCTTTGTTCAGCTTAACAAACTGAAAGCTGAAATAGGATCTCTTTTTCCAGTTATAAAGAAATGAAAGGAGTATGCAAAAGGGAAGGAAAGAACTACGTAAGCCAAGGGAAAGTACTGGCACAGGAAGAAAATGAGCATGAGTTGCTCAATGAAGAAATTTTATCAGGAAATAAGAAGGGAGATTTTAGCCACTAGCTCCCAGTGAGGCTTTGAAATTGTCTTTCAATGATAGCAGTCAGGGAAAAAAGTACATACATTTCTTAGGAAAACCACAGTCTTATATGATGGGATGACTACATGAAATTGCAGCATATTTGAGCTGATAACCCTGACAGTCCTCTGTGATTCAGCACTTCTGTGTTCCTGTGGAGGAGTGCCTCAGTGGTATGAGAGCCCTAAGTCCTGAAATAATGCAGCAGCTCACAAGGCCTGCAAACAGAAAGAGTGGAAATGTGTGTGTTTGTGCATATGTGTATTTCTTACACGTACATATGTATTTACATATACAGTATGTTTTTATACATATATATATGTATTCATTCATAAAAAGAGTACCTTTATCTGAAGGAGAAACTGACGTTGTAAGATAAATCCTTCCAGTTTACAGTAATGATCAAGCTCAAGGAGAGACTTACCTGTTAGGATGAATGTTCTTGTTCTTAAAGATAAGTAAAAAAATAATGGGAGAAAATGCATATGGTCTCAGAAAATTTAATTTTATTGGATATTTATCCATCCCAGCACTTCCTCGAGTGATTGTCCTTTCTGTTGTAATTCCTTGTGTATTATACAGAAGGAAAATTATTATTATTATTCTGATGCCTATAAGCTATAAACCTACTTAGCCCTCAGAAAGGAGTTGCCCTCAATGTACATTTAATAATTTAATCTTTAATTGATGTGGCACTGCCTTGTGAGAAACAGGAATAGTCTTCCTCCTTCTGACTGCCCTTGATTCTGCAGTAGAGCTCATGGGATGAAGGTGAATAAGCTTGTGTGTCTGTGCATTGATTTGTAGGCTCGAGGACTGTCACCGGAGTGTCTCCAGGGGTGCCCCAGGGATTCAGAGCTCTCAACAGCACAATGGCTGAGACCAAGCTGAAACACATGAGGGAGTAAGTAGCATATTTATGTGTTACCAATGTGCAGGCAAAGAATATGGATTTGAAAAACTGCAAAGCACAGCAAATAAAACCCAAAAATACTATCAACAAAAAGAAGTGGATGGTAAGGTGTTTAGAGACTTGCTTTCTTGCCTCCAGAGAGGATGAAAGCTGACCCTCACTTCTGATTGCTTTCTTGTAAGCTGAACAATCACTGACATCCTTCCAGGATCCAGTTTGCCTTTCCTGCTGTAGTTGTCATTCTGAATTTCACTTGCTGTATTAGCACAGCCCATGCCCATAAATCACCTGCAGATGTACACATTACCATCACATTTGCTCCCTCACCCACACTTCATTCTTGCCTGGAATGAAAAGTAAGTGGGTTTGTTTCCCATGGTGATATGATGTTTTAAACTAACCAAAATTGCTGCTGTTTTCCGGGATTTTCAAATGAGAGAGAGGAATGTATATGGGCAGTTCCCTTTGAAACTCATTGTCTACCTGTTTTCAGCATTGCTGAAATCCAGCTTTAGTTATAAAGGTTTCAGTGTCTTAATAAAACAAAGTTCTGTGCTTCCTTTCTAGAATATACTGGTTAATGTACCTTGAGCCTTTATCTTGATTCAGTAATTTCTGTCCTTCCAAGATTTATTGCATCCTAACTTAGGTGCTGATCTGATAATCATAGTGATGTGTATTATTTTTGAGCTCAAATATTCTTTGCAATGTTGCAAGATTCAACTGCTCTCAGAATGTAAACTCTTTAAAAAAGGGCAATTTTTTCTCTTGTGTAGGTGGACAGTGCCAATAATGTGGTGGATGTTACTGGAATACAAATAAGTTCAAACAGTAGATGCTAATGGTTATTTAAGTGAGCTCTCTGAAGAAAATGCGTAGAATTCCAACAGCATTGATAGCAATCACTGTTTAAAACAAATCACCATGTAGTTCAGGAAAATACCAATCACATTTACTCCTGATAGGAGTTGTTTTGTTTTATATTATTTCAAGATGCAGCAGCTCCCAGGGTTTCACTTCACAGCTTACCCTTTGTTGTGCAGGTCTCACAGCCTTCCACTTACACTGCTTTCCATTCTCCTTTCATGGAAACTACTAATAAAAATAAATTAATGCAGTTTGTTGTCCCAGCTACTTACAAGGTGAGATTTTTAGTCAAAATGCCTACTTAACTTACAGATTTCATCCAGTGTTCTCATGGTTCCTGGATAAAACTTAAAATATTTGAACTTCATGATCATTGCTTTTAGGGCTGAGGTATGATTAGATCACTTCTTTCTGATTCTTTTTTTCCAGTACTGTTTCATGGTTTTCGTGGTTTGTTGTGACTCACAATATTGTCTTTTCTCCAAAATATAGCATGACTTTTTTTATTTTCTAAATACATAAAGGTGAGAAAGGACTTAATTGCTTGGAATGTGAAGTGTTAAGGAACAAAACAAGGAAAAGAGTACCCAGCATGTGTAGTCAAGGAGATCCCTGCAAACTCTGATCCATGGCCAATCTGCACACAGGGCCCAGTAGGGTTTTCACTGGTGAGAAGGAAGCGCATTTGGTTATGAATCAATACTTAAAGCCACAGCTTCTCTGCTCATCCCTCAGCAAACCTCATATGATGTGTTTGTTGAATGCTATCCACACAACAGTGCCACATAAGCAAGGCTAATGTAATTTAGACCTGTGCTATTCAGTTTTACTCAGGTAGATGCAGACTCTGGGCGGGGGGGCAGGGGCAGCTCTTCCAGATGACAGCTTCTGATGAAAGAGAAAATGTTGGGGATTTTGGGGATTTGTCTTACAGAAACTGAATAGCTGGAGTTCCTAAAAGGAAAGGGAAGAGCAGAGCAGGAGAGATAAAGTGGAGGTGCAGTGAAATCTGTTTGGGTGTCAAGTCACTCTGGAATGAGAACTGTGAAGGTTTGGGATTTGCACCATTTTCAGATGTTAGGAGCAATAGATTCCGATGAGGGAGACTCCTGTGTCATGAACTGCTCATAAAGAAAGTTTGTGCCCACACATTACAGATGACATTACCGGAAGAAAGTGTCAGTAGCTCTGATAAAATGGTAGATTAATCTAAAACAACACAAGGTCTAACAGTGAAAGTGCCTTTTAGCCATTTACAATTGATGCGTGAATAATGTTGGCTTGCAAACAAGTGTAGCAAGGCAGTCACTTGACAAGATGTTATATGCTCATTGCTTGAGTTACTGCAGCATAATTCACTAAATGCCTTCTTTGACTTGCTGTGTATCAGAGCATCAATTTAGGAGGTTTCTACTGTATTCTTATGCAGGACTTGACAAGGATACTCAGGTGAGAGCAAAGCTGTGCTAAAAATCTTTATGGGAATATAGAAGGAAACCACTGAACCCTGGTAGGAGTGCTTGGTGTCCTCCTATTTTAAGTGAAAAGAAATGGCTGTTTTTTCACTACAGCCCCTAAATATTTCCCTTGACTTTTTCTTTCCAATTCACTCTCTGTTCCAGTTGATCACATGCAGCATCAATATGAATTGATTTCTTCTCAGTAAAAGTCATGATAAAATCACCAACTCCAGTGATAACAATTTCTAATTTGTTATATTTGGCATCAGAATTCATTATAGAATTTATAAGAGCAGAGATTTAACTTTACTTTTCAAGCAGAGTTCATTGACTCCACAAAAATCTCCAATTCAGTGCTAAGCATTTCAATACTGGGATCTGTAGGGTTGATAAGAAATCTCCATTTTTTGAACTAGCTCCCACCAAGGCTACCATTATGCTCCTTCCCAGCCTTGAGTGCTAGCAGCGAGAAATCAACCAAATATAGAAATGGGAGCTGTGAGACTCTTATTCCTCATAATGGGCTTTGAAAGCAAGGAATCTTGTTAGAGGCAGGAAATGGGAGGAGCCATTTCCTGGCATTTTCTGTCCTGGCCACCATCTAATTCTCGTGGTGGTTCCCATCCTTGGTGGTACAAGGTAACGTGGTGGATGCCGAGTCTGAGAAGTGTTACTGCCACATGGTATCCAGAGCCAAGTTATCTTCATGGAGAGATCCATGAAGACAAGCAAATGACTGTTCCACTGAGGTTCTCCTATAGAGATTTTCCAACTATGCATCTCAGGAGAGAATCACACTGTTCTTCAGAAGCAACTCCTCATGCCAAAGCATTTCTCCCCTGTCAGATTAAATTGTAGTAGCACCTATTAATTTTTTTCCCCTGAGGTCCATACAAAAAGCTTAGTGCAGATGGTTTTGTGCTCCTTTGTAGAGATATCCATGAATATCTACAATGAGTCATTTTAATAGCTATGAACTTTAATATGCACTTTAGAATTCAGTAAAATGTATGGCAGTAAAAGGAAAAGGCTTTTATGCCCCAAATTTTAAGTAAATTAAAATCCTTTAGCCCAGCAGTAAGCACCTCTTAGTCATTCCCCAAAGTCTTATGCACAGCAGCATACCACGATCAGGCAAAAGACTTCATCATCCCCTGCTGAGTGTAAGTAAAGCAGTCTTTCAGAAGTCATGAAGAAAAGGCATTGGGTGATATTTTTATTCTGTTCCTGTGAATGCTTGTAACATTATTGGTTTAGACTCATGAGGAGTATGTATATATGCTTCTTGTGCTTTGATGCTGCCATCAAATGCATCATCTATCTTAAAAATTCAGAAATAAAGGTCATTTTGAGGTCATTCAGTAGGCACTAGATGTTCTTGAGGTAGGTAGTCCTAAAATACCAGAAGTATAGAAGACTTTTTGTACATTTATTTGTGCAATTAAAAAAAAAATAAAAATATTGCAATAAAGTGTTTACTTGATATAGTATTTCAATTTATGCAGAGTGGACCTTTCTGAGCCAACTGAAACTGGTTTTGTTATGGAGGTCATTGAGGGCAGCTTTAGTGAAGACAAAAGCCACAAATACAGAAAAGCTAATTGTTTTTTAAGATTTTGATTTAAAAACTTATCAGTGACCTTTTGATTGCTATTGACTGTCATGCTGAAGGTATCATGATGTAAACTTGCTTGAGAAATAAGATATCTTTTCACAGACAAAAGACATATTTGGTAAGGAAGTTTACTGACACTATCTGAGCTACCATGTTTTTGCAGGTGAATAGAGTAGTCTTGAAGGTATTGATCCTGAAATGGTCTTGAGCATTGAATTTCCTCTTACACACATAACAGCATTCCATTTTCAGGTAATAATTTCTGTCTGGTGATCCCAAGACACCTTACAGCATGACTATAGTTTTCTGCATCTCATGGGCTAAGCCAAAATTTTATTTACATGTCCATCTTCCTTGTCACAGTTTCTCACACCTCATTTTTAAAGGCTAGTCTCAAATGAGTGTAATGAGTTCATTATGGAAACAAATTAAGCATCTTAGTCCAAGAGTTTCTCTTTCTTTTACTGAAAATCTATTTTAAGGTAATTGCACCATTACCTTCCAGACCCAAATCTGAAGAAAGTATTTTGGGTTTGCTGTTTGCTTTACAAGCAAGCGAGATAAACTCAGTGGGAACACTGAAAGATTGAACCCTGCCTGAGTGTGACCAAGCTGGGATATTGGTTCTTGGTTTCTGTCAGGGAGACATGAGTTCTGCATTCTGGGGTTGCAGGATCATGTCCAGGGAGGCTACAGTTACCAGCGATGGACATGGGACACCAACGAGATGGGCTTCTGCTCAGGAAACCATTTATCCAGCACAGGAACCAACTCAGCTTAGATCCAGAGACAGAGAGCCCCAAACAGAGGCAGGGTGATGGGTTTTGTGGGACAGAGATAGGGTGGAGTTTCAGGTCGGGGACTAATAGGGACAGAGTAAGGGAGAAACCCCAGGGGCTCAAACCCAATCAGAACACCCTGGGCTGCCACTCCATGAAGGGTCCAGCGTGGAGAAATTATTCCTGGGCTCACAGGGCCCATCCCCCAAGGCATAGGAATGGAATTCATCCTCCCTGGGCTTTAAAGCTACGCCTCTTACTTTAATAATGCTTATCTGAAACTAAATCTCCGGACGCCCTCACAGATAAGTGAATGCTCCTGGCTCAGGAGTCATTGCTCTCCCAAAGCAATGACTGAAAGAGAAATTTGGAATAGATAAATCCTGGGCTTCTCCTGCCTAGGAAGAAATTAAGCTGAGTGAGACAGTGTCTGCTGCTCAGAAGCATAGGAGTCCTCTGCAGCAGAAGCAGCACTAACCCCTCAAGGCCAAAGCTGGAGCTTTGGCTAATAATAGTCTAATTCCTCAGGCATTTTCTATGGGTCTTTGTTCAGCTTCTTCCCACTGTCCATACTCCTTCCCTCTCCATGACAAAAATGGGCTGCTTCTCTTGTTGGCACTTTGCCTCTTACGCTGCTCCTCTCCATCCTGCATGTGAGGATGGGTAGAGCACATCACCTGCCAACACCATAATTTCAGCAGTTCTTAGCAGCTTTACATTTGTTATGATACACTTTGAAATGAATAATGAGAACAAGCTTAGTAGTTGGAGAGAGTGAGTATTGGGGCACAATTAATGTTTGATACATTTTCTTGGGATGCTCATCTTTTTCCCATTTTACTTGAACCTCAGGTCATATCCTTAAAATGATGTGCAATATTTTGCAAATTTGCTTAGATACGTAAAGAAAACACAGATTTTTTTACATCTTCTCTGCTCAGCTGTATGCCAGCCATAGATCCATGAGTCATTCTGTTATTCTGAATTTTTAAGGACTTTTTTTTGTAAGGGGACAGTAACAGTATGATTCCTTTAGCACTAGAGTTTTTATTTACTTTGAAAATTGAATTTCAGTAGCAAAACTCCTAAAATTTTAAGCATAGATTCACTTATTTTAAAATGTCAAGTGGCCCCAAACACTCAAAAAATTCAGAGAATTATACTTCTTTTTGTTTTGCACACAAAGCATAGCTTGCCTAGTTTCTTGTGCTGTGCATACATAATGCAGAGATTGAGCTGTTCAGATTTCCAGCACCTTGACTTTGTCAATAGTTTGCAAACGTGAAAATGCTTTCACGCAGCATTAATTATATCGTCTGTTTTCAATACGGAACCACTCGAAGAATTTTGACAGTTTTTACTAGAATAGTATTGCAACCTTGGGAAGTTTACTTGAGAGAAATAAAGGTAGGGAACTTTCCAAGAGATTTGATGCAGGAATGACCAGAGCTCTCTTTTGAAAGATATAAAATGTTTGTTTTTTTTAAAAAAAAAAAAAGTACTAGACTTCTATCTATGTCTTTAAATGCCTGAACAACTCTGTGAAGCTTGTCTTCTTTTGATGCAGACCCAGAAGAAACTAATTGTGTAAATCTTTCTAGGTCTTTCTGAAAATCACAGATCTACTGTCCATAGTTGCTAATTGTTTTCCTTTTTTTCTTTTTAGAATGGTGTCATCGTGGAATTGTATGGCTCTGTCAAAACGTGAATTTGCCTTAGCCCTGTTTTGTGCTAGGAACTTTTTAAAGGACTGCAGATGTGAAAAGAGACTTGAAAGAAGTTGTGGACTTAATCCACTTAGCTTCAGACCCCATTGGGTGGATATAGATGTGAACTTACCTCAAATGGTTGATGTTCGAAAAACTGTTTGCATAAAACCTTACGTAAATGGTTTGGGAGTCTTTTTGTGTATATGTTAGTGTCTATTTTTATGTATATGGATATACTGACTTCAATATTTGTCATAATTAGATATCTCACATTACACAGCAGTTGGTATTTTTTTAGCTTTAAAATGTCTTTTTGATTGGATTGTTTAATAGTATTTTTACTGTAACCTTGTATGGGTGTTTAGCATAGCTCAGAGCTTGAATGCTGCTTCACTTCCCTCTGTGGCTGTACAGTGCTCAAGCCCAGCAGGGAATTTTGTGAGTAAATTACTGTGGTGTTCGTGATATTTCTGTCAAGAACTGTCCATCTCCATACCAGCTGATTACATTAATCTCTCCATTGAAGCACCTGACTCATTGACAACTTTTTAATGAGACTGACTTATTGCTAACTCAGAAATGCATTCTTTTAGATCCAGTAGTAACACTTCATAGAATATGGCTAAAGATAATGCTTGGATTGAGAAAGAATGCATATATAGTTATAAATATTCTGATTGTTTCTTTGTAATGCATAAATACTTTTTTTCTTTCTCTGATAGGCAAATTGTTGGTTTTAAAACTATTATTTTGATATGAAATCCTAAGTCAGGAGAGACCCCCCCTCCCAATATTAAGCCATGTAAAAGGAAATCAGCATTAACTCTGTATTACCACACAAGAACAAAGGAGAATGCAGTTATATTCTTAAATTCATACAAGATCTGCATATAGTTATTGAGTTTTCAGAGGTAACTACTGTATCCTCACATGCTCATATTCAAGAATTAGCTGTATATTGTGCTGCTTTTTAGACACACCTTTATAAAACAAATGCATTGATAAACAAAGCAAATAAAATCAAGTATGTGTTAAGTGTGCCATGTATTCCAGCTTGATCTTGATCAGTGGTGCTGAAGGAATTAAACTGATGACTTTTCAAAGATTCTTTGAATGCCATGGCACTGTTAAAAATCAGAATGTTGTTTAAAATAATTATAGAAAGACTAGGAAATCTCAGACTGTGTATAAAGCTGCTGCAGCTCAGGGACTTGTGTTTCAGGTAATTCCCCATGGCCACAGTGGAACACAATGAAATAGTGCCCACCCTACCTCATGAAGAATAGCTCTATAGAAGCAAATATATTTCCTCTTATTTTTAGTACTGGTACTATATTTCTTTATATAGGAAGACTTTAAAATTGCAGTATTCAGGTTTGATTTAAATGACTGTGTTTTGTTGTAATTTGTTTCCTTTGGTGGGAAAAACTAAAAGAAGCACATTTTCTCTTATGATAGAGCATCTTCTAAATTTGTAGTAGCTAGAATTCAACTAGCAGCTCTAAATTTTAACTAGCACTTCTTCCAAGAGCAGTTGTCAGCTTCAATTCCTATTTTATAAATTCATTTATCTCTGAGCATGAGGTGCATGGAGAATATTATTGTTGATATTTCTTCACCTGTGTGTCTACACCTTTTAATAATAAGATCCTTCTTAACTCATGGGAAAACATGTCCCAAATATGCTTTAGATTTTTCAGGTCTTTGAAGTAGGGCATCAGAGAGTTTTGTTTGCAATCAAATTATGGTGCTTTAATTCAGGAATTATGAAGTAATTAAGGATGAATTAGGAAAATTATCCTTGTGTTTTCAAGTGAAGAAACTTTCATTCAGCAGTAATATGAGGATAGTCAAAGTCCATTGAGGCTTGAAGGTGAAAATGGAGGCTAATATTAGTAATTCATATGTCTTTACTTACTAGCATTTATATCATAATACTTTCCATTACCTTTTCTTTTCTTTTTAATAAGCTCTTTACTTACTTAGCCATTTTTTTCACATTCCCAAGACTGAACAGCTGTCAGAACTAGAAAGTTTTGCCCTACTTTTAGATATAAGTTCCTAAAACCTGAATCATGGAGCTTATTATGTCCTTCTCCTAGCAGATCTCAAGGGGTCTTTAAACAGCACAGAGAAGTTATGTTGGAAATGAAGATTTGAACCCAGAGCCATTTCTTTCAAGTGTCAAAGTTTTAATCATTCATAGTCAGTAAAGCCAGCAAACAGAATGACAGAAAGATAACTTGAGAGGACAGAGATCTTTTGTGTTCTGACTGAGATAAACCTGTTTGTTTACTGAACCATGAGATGCTGTAGCAGATATCTTAAGATTTTCTGGTACAGTTAGAAAACAATATTTTGTATGAGACTAAGGATATGTAATTTCCTGATTCTTTTGCAAAGTCATCTCAAGAGATAAATGTAACAATCTTTTTCACTGAGATTCGTATCAGTACTGGTTAGCTGCAAAGTGGCATGATTGTACTGTTTTAAAGAGAAATATGAGGTTAATAAATTGATGCTTGGAAATACCATTAATTCAAGGACAAATCATTGTTGGATGTATTGATGAGAATCCTAAAGAATACTGCTGGACTCCATGGGGTTAGCTCCTTGAGTTAGGAAGAACAGAATTTAGAGACCTCTACTGAAATTATTCTTTCCAAGATCCCTGCTCATGATTTTATTCCCCATGAGCCAAAATCAACACAGATTTGTGCTCTGCTTTACAATGTGCTTTTTGGTGGTGGATGCAGGTGACCTGGCTGCATTCAAAAGGATACATAAATGCCCAGTGGAATGGGTATTCCATGTCCAGAAAGTTTCTTTGTTAAGGTTTGCATTGATGTGGGCATGAGTAACTGGTATTTTGAAATAACTGAATTTTCTTAGGAGCAGTGTGTTTGTTGCCTGCTATGGCAGGGGTGAGATGGTATTGCTGGTGCCTGATCCAGAGGGACTTTCATGGTGTTACTACTCTGGTGTGTTCAGTAGTGGCTTGTGCAGAGCCTGTCCTTGCATGGACCACACACAGCTCTCTGAAGGGGATCCCAGTGAGACCAGGATGGCTTTAGATGATAGCTGCCATCGTGTCAAATGGCACTGGAAAGTGAGAAGCTGAAAAACCCCGTAGCTGCTGATTTGTGTAGTAGCTACCCTTCAAGGCAGGTCATGACAAGTTGTTGAGAGATGTTAACCTGGCTGCTAACACCCATGGAGGAGCACAAACTTCAGCATTAATCTTGTTTTGTGGCTTTTGTCAGTGTGGCATAAAGGTAGGTGTATTGTAATTGATCTCTAAGCCAGAAAGGAGACACTAATAAGTAGCTGGTAGCAGAATAGTCAAAATAAAGACCTGTGGGATAATAGAGAATTCTTTGTTCACTTAGGAAAGATTTACAACTTCCTCAGCCAGCTGAGAATACAACATTATTATATTGTCAAATTTTAGTAATTTTGCACTGATGCATAGAAAATCAACTGCAAATCACCAGATAGCCTGATAAATTCATTTAGGTCCAATGACTTGGAATGGTTTTAGACACACTGTGTCTTAAAATTGCAGTTCTCAAGGTTCCTATTTAGCTCCCCTCTAACTCCAGGAGTGCTTATGATTTTGCTGATGTTCTTTACTGCATCTTGCATACTCAAAAGTGCCTTATCCTTGATAGAACCAGGTCTCTATTTTATGTCCATGCTACATAATTGTCCACAAATCAAATATCAATATGGTGTTTGGGTCTTGTTGCAGTTAATTTTCTCAGGCATGTGTTGTGTGCTGCATGAGAGCTGGCAAAAAGAGGTTAATTTTTTTTCAGGCCACATCTTCTATGGGTGACAGCGTCCTCAGACTGGCAATATCTGCTGTGCAGCCAGTGGGTTGATGGTCACAGCGTGTCCCCAGCCCTGTGCCTCCTCTGCCTGGAGCACTGGGACTGCTCTCTGCAGCCAGGAATGAGGGGAGTTGAGCTCAATGGATCCCTCCATCTAAGACTGTAACAAGGAAAGAAAAAAACCAATCTGAGATATGACATTTAAGCACATTACTGAGTATCACCTGAAGCCAGACCCTTGATTGGTAGAGCCTGATGTAATTTCTTGGATTTTAAGACACTGAAAACCGATTTTGGCCAGTGTGGGATGGAAGTCTGGCCCACAAGATTTCACAGTAGTGAAATCCCAGATGTCAGGTATCCCCTTTGTTCGTGTTGTCTTGGCTAAAAAAGAGATGATGACTCACAGTGAGTTTGTAGCAGATAAGCTGTAGGATAGCATGAAGAGTGTGCCAGTAAATCAGAAAACATGGATGGCCAAATGGGACTGTAAATGAGAGTTCTGCACTTCTTCTCACACCACATTTGGTGGTAAGGCTTTGGTTCTTTTCCAGACATTTAGTGCAGGTATCCCATATTTCATGTGAAATAGCAACCTCTAATTGTGCCTCTCCAGGATTTTACATGGGTGGACAAATAACCCCTAGGACAGGATCAGGGCCATAATGGACAAACCTCACTTTCCAGGAAGCGCCTTCCCCCCTCCCTCCATCAGGATGATAGATTCACTTGGTGACGCCTCTCTGGCATTTACTCTCTGATATCCCACACTTCTGCCTCTCAAGACCAAACAGAGCCTTATGTCTTCTTTTGTAAAAGCAGGTTATAATTTTTGTTACCTACCCTGTAATTTTCAACCTATGAACATTTTCCCCTTAATTGTATTGTATCAGCTATTATACAGATTAGCTGGTTTGTGTGCTCTGCCAAGGTGAACAGAGAAGATTCAAGTCTGCAGGTCACATTTGTTAGCAGAAGCAATACTCCCAAGGTATATGTTTGCTTAATTTTTCATCTTGAAATAGACAGGACTTCCAAAAATTAAACATACTTGTCTAAGAGGGAGAGAGGAGTCATTAGAGGCACTGATGAAGTAGCAGTGATTTCAGGATAGCTTTTCATGTATTGATTTTTAACTATTGGAGAGAAATAGTGATATTTTTGATAATGTTTTCTGAAGAAATGTACATTGTCAAATCTCTGTTTAGCTTTCAGTGGTAATCCAATCTCTAGGCTTCTAGCATCGGAGAATTCATTCTTTCAAACAGTTTTTATTTTCTCCTAAACAACATTCTTGGTAGAAAAAAAGGCAATTTCTAGTTATAGGAAGCAGGACTGAGTTAGGTCTAGACCTGTAGAGATTCCAGCTTGGCCCTTTGACTTCTGATCCTGGGTCTTGGCTTTCTCTGCCCCAGGTTCCTGATCTGCCTCTGTGTCAGGAGCCAGCAGAGGGGTGCCCTGGAGTCAAAGGGGCATCACACCTGGGCATGATGGAGGTGCTAGAAAAGCAAAGAGCAAGTGGGATGGGAGAAGTTTGAGGAGCAATAAAGTAGAATTCTTTGCAATGTTTTCATAAGAATTGGGGAATTTATATAATATGGAACTCTTACTGGCTGACTTTTCACTGTGAGGATGTTTTTCCTCAGCAATAACAGGATGACCACTGATAAAAAGCAACTAGGTTGATCATGCTATTGGGTGAGAAGAGTTGACCTTGCCCTGGTGTTAGACATGTAGCAAAATCAGTACAAAACTAGGAAAAACTACAGCTGCAGTTTGTGAAGTTGTTGTTGGGAGTTAGGTTTAACTATTTAAACTGCTATGGGAAGTGTGCCTGCTCCCATTTGCACATTTACTGAGGTTCTAAGCCTTAATGCTGGCACCAGGAGACATCTCTGATCCCCTTCTCTGCCTGTGTATAGATCATCCTTTGTGTAGCCACAAGCTGAGGATGTCCCAGCTCCTGCTGCCTCAAGCATTGGCTGGGAAGCCTACTGCTGGCACTATATGACATGGTTCCTTTCAAGTGTCCCCTTTTTGTCTAAAAGACAACCAGCTCTTAACTGCTCTAACATGTAAAGGCTCAGTGAAAAAATCCAAGTCAGAAGCATGAAGAGCAGGCAGATAGTCTCTGATACACTGAAGGAAAATTACCCTGGTATTTTCATCAAAATATGAAGCCATCACTGAGTGACAAATTGTATGTTACCTGTGATACATGAATTTAAATATGTTTTGCCTTTAGGAGAAAGAAAGGCTGTTCATTGTCTTG